TAAATTAGGAGTATCAACAATTTCAAAAATCGTAAATGAAGTATGCGTTGCAGTCTGGGAGTATTTAAAACCTTTAAGTATGCCTCTACCAACAAAAGAAAAGTGGGTTGAAATTATACAAGGATTTGAAAGGCACGCCAACTTTCCCAACTGTATCGGTGCAGTTGATGGCAAACACATCCGAGTTGTTAAGCCAATTGACAGTGGATCGTTGTTTTATAATTATAAGAATTATTTTTCGATACTTTTAATGGCAGTTTGTGACAGCCATTACAATTTTACATTTGTTGATATTGGTTCGTTTGGAAAATGTGCTGACTCGACAGTATTTAGAGACTCTGTTTTTTACAAAAAACTTATGAATAATGAATTAAATATACCAGAAGACCAACCATTAACATTTACAGAAACTCCAATTTTGCCAAATGTTTTAATTGGTGATGAAGGTTTTGGTGTCTCTACAAAACTTTTACGTCCTTTTGGAGGTAAAAATTTGTCGGTAAAAAAAAGAATATTTAATTATCGGTTAAGCAGAGCAAGGCGGTACATTGAATGTACCTTTGGAATACTAACTAATAAATGGCGGATATTTCATCGACCTTTAAACGTTTCGATGGAACTTACAGAAGAAATTGTCAAAGCATGCTGTGTATTGCATAACTTCGTAAGAGCAAGGGATGGAGTGCAATTTGATGATATACTGACAGTTAATGGGTTTGATGAAATGCATAGTCCATCTTCCACTATTCTAGGAGGCAGAACAGCAAATGATATTAGAGATCAATTTGCAGATTATTTTATTTCTCCAGAAGGAGAATTGCCATGGCAATACACAAATATTTAATATTTAATTATATTTTGTTATTCTTATTTTTTTACCATATTTTAAGTTTAAACTTTAAACTATAAATAATTAAACTTAGTAATCTATACTTAATAATATTTAAAAAATAAGAAAATTAAAATGTACTTGTTTATGTTTAAAAAAATAAGAAAATCATGATTTACACTAAAATGTATTTAAATAACACAATATTAATAAAACAATGTATACTTACTACATTCATTTTTTTCGGGTGTCTCTTTTTGGTCGAAGTTTTCAAAAAATATGTAACACAATAAATTCTTCCCATGCTTTATTTTTAATTTGTTTTTTAGAACTTTCATTTGACATGGAATCCCATATAGCTGGACGTAGATGAATTTCGTCAATAAATTTGTCTATATCTAGACACTCGGACATTTCGAAAAAAATTATCGTACACAAAATTACAAATTAAATAATTACTTAAATAGTTTCACACAAACTGAGTACACTTAACACGGAAGAAACTAATACGTTCAAAGGTGAAAATATACTATCATTGCATGTTTATCTTGCACCCTATTTATACTCTATACAGAATTCTAGAAAAAACGTGAATATTTTATTTCTCGAACTTTCTTTGGACTATATATACTATATAGTATATACTAATATACTGTATAGGCATACACTATTCGCGCGTCGAGAACCACGTGATCACGTTAACACCGGGTAGTTGGTGGGGTCTCTAGTTATTACTATACTGCCTAATTATTAATTTGTGAAAAAAAAAACATTTTTTTCAAATAGAACCAATAGGTAATAATATGCACTACACAGTTGCGTGGCATGAAACTTAGTGGCTTTAAACTATCTTGGGGGGGGGAGTAGAGACCTTTTTTAGAAATTAAATTATTAAATAGTGATGCTAGAAAGGGTTTGATCTATACCTTATAATTTTTTTAAAACAATACAGTATTATTGTATATTTAAAAATCCACTTTAAAAGTTTTTGTTTAGTTAAAATAAAATATATTCCAAGTGTTTTTTTTAAATGTCAAGTTAAATGGTACCGAGCCCCTAGACTTGAACTTACATTAGAGGCCCGGGGCCCGGGGCTAAGGTTTAAGCCCGTCCTCAATATGACACTGCATTCAGGAAACTTTTGGCGCCACACATAAATTAATTTGTAGCTATCGTGTGGTTATCGTGTGAAAACTATATAGTTCATGTGGCGCCACTGTGTCTTTTCTGTGGCGACACTAAAGTGGCCCGTGTGAAACGGGCCTTACTTTTTTCAATGCTGAAAACGACCGCTCCGCTATACAATTTGTTGCAAACGTGCACAAATACATACGTAACGCTATTGTGGCGTTTGAGTAAATATCAGATAAAATATAAATTCTATTAAATCATTTGTATACAACATTATCTTACAAAGTTCTCGGGCGTTTCTTTTTTGTCAGATTTAAAAAAAAAGATTATCACGCAAATAAAGAAATTCATTTGTAAATGATTCTTCAATATCATTAGGATACACTGAACAAAAAATTTTAGGTAATTTTAATAAAAATACAGATTAAATTAATAATATCATTGTTAATATTGGGTCAACAAAATGATTATTGATTCTAAGATTAGATATTAGTTAAAATAAGAATTCACAAATTATTTGATTTAATAATTTTTTTGTTTATTATAACTAATATTTACTTGGTACAACGATCAAAACTTTGTTAAAATAACTTGGAATTTTGTTAATTCTATAAAATATATTATTAATTTAACACATAAATATGAACTATATGTTGAACTAACAAAAATTAAATTATTTTTACAAAATGGTTACACTGAAAAAAATTATATTGTATAGTTTTACCAAATAGGTTTGTTAGAGAATATATCGTAGTTACTACCAGAAAATTGTAGTACATACAATATTATATTGTTTTCAGTAAAGTCCTCTTTCTGTTAGTTAGTGATGGTGAAAAGAACAAAAATATTTGCTGTGTTTAAAAATTATTACGTAAATACAACAGCATAATCGAATCAACAAAACTTTTAATAGACCGAACAATATTTCTGGTGATCTACGTTTATTAGATAAAATCTATTTTTAAACTGTGTATTTTAACGTATCCAACAACCGAACGATCGATAGTGGGTACAGAACATATGTGATAACAACTATTAATAAGGAATTCCCGTAAATATTTCTGAAATTATTAGATAATAGATACGCCGATAGTTGTTACTAAGATGGTGAGGGGGTGGTGGATAGCGCGCGGCGGTCGACTGGAGCTGTTTGGTGTGCGGAGTGCGGACTGCGGATTGACTATTTGACTCATTTCACATTTGACTCGTTAGCCCTTTTGAAGTTTTTAAGTGTTAGTACTTTTGTTTATTAAATAATATTATAGCTGACGCTGTTTGCAAATTTGCAATTACCTATCATTTTGAAGTTTTATTATTACACATTATATTTTTCTAAAATTAATAATATTCAATAAAGTCATTACATAATAATTAATATTATAATGGCAGACTGCGATGCAGTTGACTTTCTTAAAGCCTGGAATTTAGAACAATACATTGACGTTTTTCGTGGTAAGTACCTCTTAACATTTGATACTTTACTTTTGATTTTTATGAATATTGTTTTCTATCTGTGATGTAAGAGTGCAACCAAGATAGTAGGGGATTATGTGAAATTACTACCTACAATGTACAAAATGTAATTTAATTTGTTAACATAAAAAAAACTAGGTAGTTAGAATAATTTAAAAAGCTTCAAAAATAGATTTAAAAGAATGAAAAAGGTATTGAATTAAAAAAAATAAGAAAAAGCAAATAAAATAGTCTAGGTTATAACACTGCCAATCATAATAACAATAAAATTTAATTATCTACAGAATTTAATTTTTTTCTTCGACAGAAAACGATATAGATATGAAGACCATACCCTTACTAACTGAAGCCATGATGATTGAATTAATTCCTAGTGTTGGACACCGAGCTCAATTAAAATCAAATGTTGACCAATGGAAAAATATTATCCAGCAGATACCTTCACCCTCAGTAATTGTATATTATAATAATAATTCATAAGTATATAAATCAATTGTAATTTTAAAATAGCTTATCCGTAAAAGGTAATAGGTATTGTTTCAGGTTAGGTTAAGTTAGTACATTATACCTATTGTTTTACAAAATTATTATTTACAATTATTTTGATACTAATTATTCCTGGTTTCATAAACAATCATCATCCATCTGTATTAAAATATTTTATTCTCTTTTTGAAAAAAGTATCAAATTAGGTACCTACTTAGTTTAAAGTATTTATACATTTTGGTCTTATTTATTATTTAATTTAAAACATAATTTATCTTTTAATTATCTAGTTATCATAATCTATCATCTATGGTTAATTTCATTGTCAATTTTTTATTCTTGGATAACAGATAAATTTTGTTTTTAATTATTATTTTTTCTAAATTATTTAACTACTTATACTATTACATTTTACAAATCTTTTTTTTCACTAAAAAAATTAAACATTTTTATAGAAGTAATTATTTTATTTTAATTTCAGCCTGTATCTTGTAGTATTGACACAGATATACAGATAGCCAATTTAATACAAAATAATGACGTATGGGTAAGTCATATTTTTTCCCCTAGGTTTAACTTGGTCATCATAACAGGTCATATTGTTTTTAAATTATTTAATTGTTCTAATATTTCAGTGGATTATTTTATTTCTATTTCAGAACTTTATTTTATTATAATTAAATTCATGTACTTAATTATCATAAGTATTAATGTTCATTGAAATATTTGCATGACAATACCTAATTTGTTTTAAATTTCAGTCTGAATCTTCCAGTAGTATTGTAGACAAATTACCGGCTGATATAATACAAAATAATTTATGGGTAAGTCATAATTTTGTTTTTATTATAAGTAGGTTTTTAATTGTCCTATTTAACTCCCTGTAATAAATTATTTAATTCTAATACTTCAGTGGATTCTTTTAAATCTATTTCAGAACTTAATTGTATTGTAATAAAATATATATAGGTACCTAATTATATTATAGGTATTAATTTACAATGAAATATTGTTATGTGAATAATTTGTTTTTTTTACATTTCAGTCTGAAGCTTCTAGTAGTAACAGTAGCGCAAGTAGTAGTGCAGAGAAATCACCAGAAGAAATAACACAAAATAATGTATCGGTAAGCCATAATTTGTATTTTATTTAGCTCTTACTTGATTCTTTATAAATATGATATCATCTTTAAATAATTAAGAGGACGCTACACCTGCATGTGTTGTCTCCTTACAAATGTAAAACATTGCAAAAACTGTTTTGCGAGGAAAAGAACCAGCTGTAATCTAAGCTAAGCTACCAAATTTTCACACTATAAAAAAGAGAATATTTACTGTGCAACGTTTTTTTTAATTTTTAAGACAGAGACAACACATGTGGGTATCATGTCCTATTAATTTATTCTAATACTTCTCATTGGATTCTTTTTTTTATGTTTCTAAAATTAATTTTATTATAAATCAATATCAGTACCTATTAAGGTCCTTAATGTCTGCATATATTGCCAATGGAATGTTTTTGTGACAAAATGTAGGGATCATATCATTAAATGTAAGATTATGAACTCAAAAAATTATTATATAATTTAGGTAATTTATACAAATTTATTTATCTTGACAAGATCAGAACTCATACAAACAGTTTCATAAAAAATATTGCATTTAGTAGTCTTAATATAAGCATAAAATTGTTATTTAGTGTTATTAATGTTGTGCTTAACAATTTAATATAATTTTTTAAATAATAATTTTTTTTATTCTTAGAAAGTTTTAATAAAAATGTATATAAATAATAAATAATGTTACTCTTGCAGGAAATATTGGAACTACTTAAAACTACAAATGAAGGAAAGTCGTTATTGTCAACATTTCATAAAAGTGGTTTATTAGATAGTGCAGGTCGTAGGCGTTTGTGTCACTTAATAATTAATAGAGAACTCAGAGATGATGTCCAAAGACGTATTCCATCGTCACGTTTACATAACCTTGCATACCAAATCACAAAAGTTTTTCAAAATGAACGAGCATCAACTTATTTTATTCCATACATTTCTTACGGACCAGGTTTAAAAAGAGCAGCCAAGGGAAAGCTTCTCGACTGTTTAAATAATAGGAGAAGGGAATATCGAAAATCTGGTTTGATTAATTCATCTAGACGAAGTTCAACATCTTCTGAATCATCTTTTACTTCTATACCATTACCGGAAGGACTTTTACAATCTACTGAAGAAGAAGGAAATTATATAGAATCTGTTGTGGAGGAAAATCTCAATTGGCTAAGAAACTCAAGTGACCCATGGGATTTAGTAGAAATAAATTGGAATTTGACTTCCAGCTTTCGCTTAAAAAGACTGATGTCACCAGATGGTCCTTCAATTGCAGAGTACATGACTGAGTTTCCATGCTTGAAAAAACCTGCAGGATATCTCCTTGTAAGTGCATGTCATGTTATTAATAATTTGTAATTTGTCTCTAATCACTCACTCGATTATTAAGACTTAATTATTTATTCTTCAGATTTTGAAAGACTTTAACGTTGCTTATCCAAAATCAGTCGACAAACTTTATCAGAACCTACCAATATACAGAAAGAAGATTATCGACCTAACATTGACTAGAACTAAGAAAACTAAAGATTCCACTGTACATCAAATCTTAAATGAATACTTACAGTACTACTCTGACGGTTCGTTAAAAAATATTTTGCTTAACAATTAATTAGTAAATATTTTTTGCAAATCGAACAATTTCTAAAAAAAAACCAATTTTTGAGTCCTTGACTAACACAATTTTTATTAACAAATACATAGTACTTATTAATTAATTAATTATGACAAATACATAATACTTATAATTTTTTAATGAATATTTTGTATTCTTATATTATATAACTTATTAATCAAGCTTCAGCTTGAAAATTATTTGGTACATATTTGGTGTTTACTGTATGTAATGGAATTATTGTTAAAATTAAAAATGTTATTAAGTAATAAATTAAAATATTTTTTTTTGTTTAGATGAAGAAACATCAAATATAGTTTGTTTGTTTTGCTTGGTCTTCCTTGTTGGAAATTCAGTGATTCGGGGAAAAAAGTATACAACTCAATGGAAACCATCAAAGTTAGAAGCTAGAGATGGATTTATCACCAAAGTATCAAGTGACGCAGAAGTCCAAGAAACCATTACAAGAAGAAGAGAAAAGCTATCAAGTCTTGGCCACACATTACAACCCTTTATAATAATTGTTGGACAAAGCTATCATCATATTCAAAACTACTTGGTAATTGTTGACAATACTATTTATAAACTCCACTCTATTACAGCTGCTGTTGATTGCTGCTTTAAAATATTTTTAACTTTGAACGCAGAATACCCTGTTGAATCCAAAGGAATATGGTTTTTTATTCAAAAGGGGTTTTACCAAATTAAAACACCATGGGATAAAAATTATACAACTGTTAGTGCCCTCCTATCTGATATAGGAATTCCTATTTTGCAAGGAGAATAATTTTTTTTATTTACTGAATTTGTATTAAGTGAACAATTAACATTTCATTTTATTAGTTTTTAAATATTTTAAAATCCCTTTGATTTAAAAACTTAAGCAAAAGATTTATTGTTTATTTAAAATTTAAAATGCCTACTTGTTTGTTTTTATAAACAACAATTTATTAATATTAATATCTTTTTAAACACTTCGATCTATATCATCCCCAACGCATTGATTCTTATCTTTATGCCAAATAATTTTTTTTTTATTTACTGAATTTGTATTAAGTGATAACAATTAACAGTTAACAAGTAATAAATTTACATTACATTTTATTAGCATAAAGTTTTTAAATATTTTATATTCTCTTTGATTATAAAGTTTTAATAAAAGAAATTGTTTATTTTAAATTTAAAATGCCTACTTGTTTTTTATGTAAACAACAATTTGTTAATATTAAGATCCTTTTTAAACACTTAGATCTATATCATCCTCAAAGTATTGATTCTTATCTTTGTGCCGAAGGAAATTGTTTAAGATCATTTTCCTTGAAAAATTCTTTTCGAAAACATTTATCAAACCATAACACAATAGAAACAATTGGAACAAGTTCTGACATAATTATACAACCATCGACTTCCCAGCAGCCCAATGAAGATATTTTTTTAAGTTCTATAATTCCTACTTCAGATAATGTATCTGACCCAAGAGAATTTTTAAATAAATCAATAAGTTGTTTTCTTGCGTCTCTTTATGCAAATCCAATCATGCCAAGAAACGCTGTTCAACTGGTGGTTGATGGTATTGATAAGGTTATAACACAAGGTATTTTACCATGTGTTGATAATTATGCCAAGACATTATTAAACCATGGTGAAATTTCCCCAAAATCTTTTGAAGCTTCTAAAAATATTTTGAAAGTTATTGAAAGCCCTTTAGATAATTTTAAAAATGAACATAAAAGATTTAAATATTTCAGTGAAGAATTATGTACTTATATAGAACCCAAAGAAATAATAATTGGACAAAGGTTGAATACAGTTTTAAGGGGGGGTTTATCTACCTTAGAACCTTGTAATTGTACAATGCAATTTATGCCTTTACGTCAAATTCTTCAAAAATTTTTTTCTTTAGAAAATGTACTGTCTGATACTCTGAAATATATGGAAAATTTGTCCAACAATAATAGTATTATTAGCAATTTTATTCAGGGATCTGTTTGGCAATCTAAGTTACAAAAACATAATGGGCGTATTGTTTTACCACTGTTTATGTTCTTTGATGACTTCGAAAGTGGGAATGTACTTGGTAGTCACTCTGGGATTCACAAATTAGGAGCAGTATATGTATCTGTTGCATGCCTTCCCCAACATCTTATAACAGTTTTGTCTAATATTTTTATGGTTCTCCTGTTTCATTCTGCTGACAGAGAAGAGTTTAAAAACAATATTATTTTTAGACCAATAATTGATGAGTTCAACTTTTTACAAAGTAATGGCATTGAAATTAATACACCTGTCTTTAAAGGAAAATTATACTTTGATTTAGGTCTTATCCTAGGTGATAACTTAGGTTTACATGCTATTACTGGCTTTACCGAAAGCTTTTCTTCCAATTTTCCTTGTCGGTTTTGTATGATATAAAAAGATAGATTGAAAATCTTATGTTATGAAGATGAAACTCTTCTCAGAAATGTTGAGCAGCATAATGTACACATTATAGAACAAAATATGTCAGCATCGGGAGTAAAAGAGGAATGTGTTTGGTTAGGTATAAAACATTTTAGTCTCTTTGAGCAAGTAGGTGTGGATTGGATGCATGATTTTCTTGAAGGTTGTGCAAAATATATTTTTGCTTTTATTATACCTTATTATGTTAATGAATTAAAACTTTTTTCTCTTCAAATCTTAAACAATAGAATGTTTGGTTTTGATTTTGGCCCTGAACATAATAAACCTAGTTCGTTTACTAAAGAAAATGTGAATCAGGGAAATATCCGACAGTCAGCATCTGAAATGTTAGTGTTGATAAGATATTTTGGATTACTCATTGGTGATTTAGTACCAGTTGAAGAGCCAGTATGGACATTGTACATTACTATGCGTAGAACATTAGATATTATGTTATCAGTATCACTTGAAAAAGATAGTTGCTCATTGCTCAGAACTTTAGTGGGGGAATTAAATGAATTGTATTTAAAATACAGTAAAAAATATTTGAAACCAAAATTTCATTTTATGCTTCATTATCCTGCTTTGATTAATAAATTTGGTCCCATTTCGCATCTCTGGTCTATGAGATTTGAAGCCAAGCACAGAACATCTAAAATTGCTGCACGATCAAATTTTAACAGGCGTAATATTTGTTTATCATTAGCTATTAAACATCAACTACAACTTAATGAAATTTTTTTAAATGGTAGATTATGTAATACAATTTTTGTTGGACCCCAAAAGTTTTTAAACTCCACAAAACAACATCAAGTTCAAACATCGTTAAACCTTAGCTCAGAAGTATCCTTAACTTTGGTAAAGTGGGCTAAGGTTAAGGGAACTCATTATAAGATTAATACAATAATAACCAAAGATATTTTAGAAGATGATTATCCAATTTTTGCATCAATTATAAATATTTTTCTTTATGGCACAGATAGAATTATTTTTGAAGTAAATGTATTCTCAAGTATTTGTTTTAATGAACATGTGTTTTGTTATGAGATAAATATAACTGATATAAAAAATAATGATTCTACATGTTATATTTTTCAAGATTCATTAATTTCTCCAGTACCTAACATTTTAAACATAGCATCTAATGGTAAACAATATGTTACGGTAAGAAGTCCTTTTTAATGCTTTATATTATAGATTAATATCGATATCATGCATTTTTCTGTAGTAATATCGTAAATTTTGTTATTTTTATTCTATTGTTCTACTTATTAATTATCATACAATACCTATTACCTATGTAGTATGTATTAATCTATTTTATATATCTTTAATCTGTACTATTATATTTTTTATAAAATAGCATTAAATTATGTATAATTTGTATTTACCTACTGTTATATTTTTACTTACCTGTTTTGTTAACTAATTGTAAATAAATACTGTGCAAATATATTTTTCATTTTTCAATAAAAGAAAACTGTTTACTATAAAATTAAGTTTAAAATTTTTCACTTTTTTGCAAATATGGTTTGGGCCACTTCCTAGATAATTGATGTTTAATAATATACTCATAATTATTGACTAACATAACATAAATATTATATTGTATTATATTATATTAATTAATATGTTTATTATTATGACAATATGATTCATAATAACATTGAGTATATTATTATTTTGTATAATATATATATTGACTATATATTTTACTCAATGATAATAATAGCTACCTAATAAACATGGTTGTTGTTATTAAACTAATACATACGTATTACAATATTGACTTGTAATTGCAATATTAAAATAATTTTTATTTTTTAACTTTAATGTTATTATTACTTAACATACCAATGACACTACTAAGTTGCTTGGTAATGATGTCAGAATTTATTGTGGTAACATCATTATTAAACTGTTACTCTTACTAATCTTACTGGTACTGATTATATTTTGATTTGTATTGAGTAAAAAAAAAATATTATATTCATCAGTTACCCATACAAATGTTTTGTAAGTAGAACTGATTACAGTTCGGTTCTGATTACCAAAGGTGATGTTAAAAATACATTTTATTGTTAACAAAATTTGATTAATTATTGCAACTAAAATTATTGTTGTCCCTGTGGCAACCACTTTTCATGGTCGCATTTACCATATTTCGTTTCCAGTAACAATATTTTTTTTTCAGTGTATTATTGAATTCAATTAAAATATATTTAGTTTAATAATATTAAATGACTGAATCAATAAAATATTTATGATTTAAATTTTTATGTCTGCCACCGACGCCTCCATGGCCCGTATTGATAATATCTTAGGCTTATGCAGTGAACAATATCTGTGTATAAATAAAATTAATAACCGGAAAATAAATCTTACCGGCAATCCTCGAGACGGTGTCTCTAGGAAAAACAAGGGAACAGTCAACAACCATATTAATATGTTCAAAATTTAAAATAATTTAAAATTCAACATTATTTTGTTTATATATTAAACTTTTAAATTAAAGAAAGACGTCGACGGTAAAAATATTGATAAAATGATAAATTATTGAAAATATGCATCTTAACTTATAGAATCTAAGAATTATGCTCTAAGACCAAAAAAAACTCGAAATATGCATTTTTATGTAAAATAAAATTTCAATACTAGCTTTGCTTCTTACTCTGCTATTTTTGTAATCATGCAAAATAAATTTGCAAATACCACAACCTTTAATTATTACTTATACCGATATTTTAAGCAGTAATATTATATTATATATATACTTATATTAGTTATATTAAGTATTTTCTAAGGAAGAACGCCATAAGTCTATAATACCCACATTATCGGGATATCACTATTACCACGATCAACTACAGTTACGATATGATACTACTCCGAATTTATATTTTAATAGGCATTCGTGCATGTGCTTCGAACATAAATTACTTCGACTATCAATTTCTACGATAATGCATTACCACGATGATACCTTACTACGATAATAAGTAGTGATTAGGTTAACCCGCCACACAACTATTGATGATACAGTCTACAGACTGTGTAAAGTAGTAAGTACTAAAGTTGAGCAAATCATATTTTCTTCGTATTAACTCATAGGAGTTAGCTAGTTAGGAAACAGGGCTTAGAACTTGTAAGTCTTTACTTCTGTTGTATTAGCACGTGTTAGTGTATGGCTGTCAATTGTATCTGTAAGATCGCGATGCAAGATAATCTGGTAAGTTACATCTGATTACTCATTGCTATAGGATTTTGGAAAATCAACGTACATAAAATATAGGTTACTGATTATACAATGACATCCATGCAGTCTTGGGTAGTATTCCGAATACTATTTTTCCTGAGTATTCGAGTATTTATTCCAAATACTTTTAAAAAGTATTTTACCCAAGACTGCATCCATGTATTAGAATAAATTCATGTAGGCAATACTAGATATTATGAATTTAAAGTTTAAACATTTGTTTTCACTTATCTATGGAATATAGTCAATAAGATGATCCAATGGTTCAATATTCCTTACATTATTAAGAATTGATTACAAAATTTAAGTACATTTTTATTTTGTTATTTTATAATATGTTTGCGTTTTGAGAAAAACAACTAGGTATGTATATTTTACACATAATATTGATTATAGTAAATGGGTACTTACTACCTAGGTACTACAAAAAATAAAATTCAAATTTCTATTACATTGTTTTATTTCAAAAACATACTATTTTACTTAAGATTTTTTTACTTACTTAAGCAGCACATATTTCTGGAGAAATGGGTGCTAGAGTTTAAATTAAAAAAAAATATTGCAAAAATAGAATTTTTTTTGGGTAATAATCACCATGCGTTTCAATATATTATACATAAATGATTTCAATTTTTAACTTCTGTTTTAATAAATTAAAAACCATTTATCTCATTTTTATCCCAAAAATATATTTTGTTTTACTAATATTACTTACATTTATAACAAAATCTTAATCTTTTATTTCCTTAAAAACTAAATAAAATCTATAAAATAAACTATATGCTCTATTAAAAAAAATGTTGTGGGCTTAAATATAAAGATACATCTTAACTAATAAATTAAAGTTTGTTTTGTTTGAACTTAAAAAAAAAAAAATTACAATTTATTCTACTTTTAATAGGTACTATATTATATACATTTGTATGCTACCATCTACAGGGTCATTGCATATCTCACACATGGCTGTTAATGGCAAGATGCAATCAGAACAAAACCATCCGTGCCCACAGTCGATATAGATGTAACGTGCCCTATTTGGTACATCCCGCATTTGTCTCATGCATGCCAAGCATTGACTTCCAGTTGGATCAGCCAAGTTATTATTTTGTAACCAGGTACCTAGAAAATAAGAAATTACTTGCCAAAATATAAAAAAAAAGTAATTAATTAAAGTATTTACTCTGTGTTCCATAGTTAATATGCATAATCTGGATCCTTTGCATCCGCGGAAATGGGGCTGTACATATTGGACAGTTGTTGAGCTTTAATCCACATGAATCGCAACACCATCCATGCCCACATGGGATAAGAATGTTTGCACTACCAACATCTGCATGATCATTCAGACAGATAAAACACCTGTCCAATAGATGATCATCTGTATGCAAATTATGTGGTATTTAAAATGTTTGTTTATCACTAATTTACTTATAAACTATAGCTTACCATTGACAAGTGGTATATCTTGTGGAGGCCTTGCTTGCTCTGCCATAATCATGTCAGGTACCACAATTTGTACTATCAAAATTATATTTAATTCTCTGTTAAGTGTGTTTCAAATTTGTAAATGTTTATTTAAATATTAATTAGTGTGTTATTAACATAACAAATACCTTCAATTTCAGGAGAATGTTGTTGTACAATTGGCTCAACTGGTTGATGAAACCCTTCTTCCAAAATAACATCTAAATGTAGAAATATTATACTTTAATACCAGTTGTTAAAATTTGATTCAAAGTCAAATCAAAATGATTTGTGAATTTACCTTCAAAATTAGCTTCATCCGGTCTGACGACAATAACTTCATCTACACCTATTGGTGGTTCAACAGGTACATCTGGAATAAGAAATTAAAACTTATATAGGTACTTTTAAAAATTTAATAATATACAAACCTTCAAAATAAGGGGAGTCCGGTCTAACGACAACTATCTCTTCTTCCACTGCTGGTTCGACAAGTACATCTAGAATAATTAGTTAAAACGTATAAAATTGTATAATCTAATAATATATCTTTAGGTTGTAAACTTGCCTACTAGTTGCCCACGACCTCTACCGGGTTGAACTTGACCACGAGGTCGTCCGCGGCGTCTTTGAATGTGAGGGATGATTCGGTTACCTCGCCCCCCACGTCCTCTTCTTTGTGCTATTTGCCGGCCATTATTTGCCGGAAGAGGAGGTGGTAACAGCGGTTCAAGTTGTACATGTGGTAGCTGCTGAATTTCATCTTCCTGATGTACTATATCAAATGTGAGTAGCTTAATATTATAATGTTATAAATATATAATTTATACGGAGACATATTTATTAGAAGACTAAAACTTAATATTTACCATTAGGTAATGGACCGATTTCATTGTCCAAGTATCCTCTCGCCACATGTGCGACTCTTCTAAGGAAGGATGAGGTGTTATATCGACCATTCCTTACTAGTCGAAGAGCATTTTGTAAGACCTCATTATTTCTATCCCGACTTGTGATAATTGATCTACGAACCTAAAAAGAAAAAAACTATTAAGCAACATGAAATATTAAATTATAAATAAATTTAACCTGATGTCCATTTATTACTTGTCTGGTTTCTCGTCTGACTCGAGATTCTACTGAACGAAGTCTGTCTGTATTCAAAAATATTCATATTATTTTTTAATATTTTAGTAGTATAATATAATAACTCAACTAAATATTTCACAGAACTTACCATAGAATGTCCAAACTGGAGGGTGTTGACCAATGGTGGTTTTCAGCATACTATGGAAACTCTCCACATAGTTATTTGTCCGAATATTTAATCCATACACTGAAAATCCAACTGGACCTACAGTATCGATCCAGTAATGTTGAATGTAATTAAACATATCGTCAAAATATTGCATTATGTCCATATGCCTCGTCAATTGTTGGATCACAAAAAACCCTCCAGTGATATGGAAGTCAATTGGCAATTGAGGGTCCCTTTCCGGAGGTAAATGTGGCAGTGCAGTGATCTTAAATAAAACAATAAATAAATATTAGAAAGTTTTATAGAATATCTAACTATATGGTGTTATAAGCCTACCATTCGGATAATGGTGGCTACATTATAGTTGTTGCGAACAATTTCATTCATGCCATGTGTCCGAATATATCTTACAATGCTCTGTAACCAAAAATATTTTATTAAATTGTATACTATTAGTATACACTATATACACAAATTTAAATGATAAAATATGTCATTTTTGTGGTGCAAATTTTATATGAAAATGTGTTAACCTGATTGAAATGGAACCAGCATCCAACTAATCGACAGTTCGGTATTACTCTTCGAATGGCATTTCGTTGAGCCATTTCAAAGTCTGCAATAATTTGCATTCTATTCCATTCAAAAAGTTCAAAAGGCAGATCCGTTGTTAAAAACTGCCACAATCTTATGTATACCGACTCTGTTCTTTGATTTGTAAGTGCATAAACAAGAGGAATGGACTGCGAGATAGAAAAAAAAAACAAATTATCATGACTGATTAGAGTGTAAGTAATAACTAATGATATTTTATACTATACTTTTGCATTTATAATAATACTATAATTTTGATCAACAGGAGTCAATCTGGAATTATTTTAAAAATATAGTAAATTCTATTTTGTCAAATCTTACAATGTTATCCAGGACTGCATGTGTGGTCACCAATTGATCAATATCTCCTGGAAAATGTGGTACTACCCCAAAAGTACCATCTACAGCTAAAACTTGAGCTCTTTGGAGGAATGGTACGTGTTGCCGTATAAAATCAATGTTTGCAAATAGTAAACCTCCAAATACTGAGTGTCCGTCTTGAATAAATTCAAGGAAACCTTGGTAGAAGGATACATTGTTGATGTCATCTGCCACAAATGACAGACGACGTTGCCACCTAACAGAGGCTATTGTCTCTCCCATTGACCTCAAATCGGCTGGTATTGGTGGTGAAACAGTTCTTCGAGCCTGCCGTACAACTCTTAGAGCTTGTTCAACATTTACTTCCATTGCCGCATTTGGATATCTACGAATGTTGTTATAGTAAAAAATGTATTCGGAATAACACTAGCATAATGTATTATTATTTGATTGCATTTAATAAAGTTGTATCATTTATTTCACAGATGAAAAAAATCAGGAATTCTTACCTTCTAGCTGATTCCTCATAAATTGCTCTCGCAGACACACTTTCCACTACAGCTCGATCTCTTAAATTCTGTAAAAACTGACCTAACTCAATATCGTGACCTGGTCTATGGTTGTGTAATTGGTACAACACAATATGTGCATTTTCAGGTACTAGTGCCATTGAAGCTGTTGCTCTACAACCTTGTTCATATCGCGAACATCGCAATTGTCTAGTGATAAAATAATTTTTGCAATTTATATAAATAAATAATTTTTAATTAACCAAGTTATTAAAATTATAATTATTGTACTATATTATTTTACAACTGACCTTCGGTTTGTAGACACTCGATTTTGAACATAAGTATATCCATTGGGGTCTGCAAAAATTGTTCGACCTCTAACGCCAAGTACTCTTCTTGACGGTTCTCCATCTTCTAAAAATTCCCCAATGACATCAATACCACCACGAGGCAAAAGTGGTGATCTAGAACGTGATCTTTCACGAAATTCTTGAACACAATTGAAATGATAAAATTTAGTTTTGCAAAATAAATATAGTTCAAAATAATAATTATAGAATGAATAGTTTATTATAGATAAATAAAGCAAAAAAAAATGTTGAAATTGTCTTAAAAAAAAATGTCTTAATGCTGGTATATTGTGTGATCTCCCCTCTCCAGTCAACAAATAGGGAAAATAGTACCACTTTAAGATTGGGGGGGGGGGGGGAACAATCTGTCAGCCTATGTTTTTAAGTTAGCTTAAAATTAATCCAAGTATTTTGAAAGTGTCATTATGTATACCAGATACGAGATGCTTAATGAAATGTACCTAATCATGTAATATAATGAATTAATCATATTAATTACCTATTAGATCAATTAAAAATTTCAAATTACATCAAAATGTCTAAAATAGTTCATCGTTACCTAATATCTAATTTCAACAAAATTTGAACTTCAAATGTCTTTTTTTTTCTTTTTTTTAATTGGCGTTTATTGAAAATTTCAATCTGTACATTATATACAATCAGTAAATATGATATGGTTTCATAATATAATATAAAAATGACTTGAACTTCAAATGTCTACAAAAAAAAGTTTTAACTATATCTTTTTAATATTTTTCAACTTCTATTATAATAATGTATTAGAAGCCTCGTATTAAATTTTCAAGATTTTTTACCAAACAAATAAAATTTTAATGATATTTAAAGAAAAAAAAAACAAAAATTGGAAACTGGAAATGTCCATAAACAGTTCAAAACAAAATTTTATCGTGTATAGAAATATTAAGTCAGCTTAAATTATGTGAATTTAAAACTCAAAATAATTTGCAAAATTTCGTGATTTTATCAAAATTCTAACTTCAAATGCTTCGTAAAAAACTTTTGTGGATTTACGTTCAACTTTTTTTTTAATTTCCATTAACAACTACCTACTTACGAGGAACGTTGTATTACATTTTCAAGATTATTGACAGAGTGTAAATTTTTTTTCGACATTAATTAAAAAGAAACTATAGCTCAACATAAATCAAAATATTTTGAAAAGTGTATGGAGTGTAGAAATTACTAATATAAACAATCAGTCAAAATGTCATATACCTTCGGCCATTTGTACGATTAATTGTCTGCACATATGCCCGTTTACGAAAATTTTAAAAATTTTTCATTTCTATATAGTTAATACTAATTGCTAATATGCTAATTGCTAATATGGAAATTTGGTAAAAACTCGCGGACTTATATTCATAAATTAAAATAATTCATATTATACTATTAAAGTATTAAAAGGATTTAACTTTGTAATTTCGATATTATAAATAGAGATACTTAACGTATTAACAGTATGATAATTTAATGTTAAATTGTATTATAAAATAGGTACTGAATTCACAAAATTATTTTAAAAAAATATTTTTATTTTATAAACTGATTTTAAACTTAAAATATTCACTATTAATAATGAATATAGTCAAAATAGGTATATTTAAAACACTTTTAAGTTTAAATAAATAAAAAAAAAAAAAAACTTTTTTTACTGCTTGCAAATACATAAAGCTTAATTTATCTGAGTCTATCTACTTATTTTGGTTTGATTTAAAATAATAAAATATTCATTAAAAAAATTGATATATAGCCATTAATATAATTAAATAAAATTACTAGAACTTACCATCCATTGCAGAAAAATAAAACTAGGCACAAATGTTTTGATACAACTTTAGAATTTAGAATTCAAATAAGCACCGCTCAAATTTCAGAGGAAGCAAGGTTGGATCTCACTCCACCGACAGTTAGAGAATAAATAAAGAGATTCGAAAAAAATATCTCATTTTATTCATTTTATAAAAATTGGAAGGCCAGGTGTTCAGGAGATCGCAATGTCTATCCATGATCAAAATTAGGTATAGGTAAAATAGCAGCTAGGTAAAATCTAACAATCTTATCGCAATGCCGCTATGGTATATTATGCATTAGCTGAAAAATAACCTTAAGTCTTTTACACTATTGTAGTATTTAAAAACTCCGTCATTGTTCATTTTTATACGCACGCAATATTCACCAAATATAATTTATACATATAGGTACAAACCGGAATGATGTACCTATACTTATATCCACAACCACTGGGATTAGAAAAAGAATTACAATCCCCTCGGAAACAATTTTTCGTAGAAGTCATTATAGGTACCTTCCTTTTTGGTAAAAGACTATATAGGCTTATCAGTAAGAATAACCATATCCATATAATGTCTAACCAATATATACATTTCTTTAACGATGTTTTAAATATATCCATGACAGATTATACATAGTGTTTCTCAAACTTATTTGTCATGGGGGCCCCTGTCAAGCCCCGTTAATCTAAATCATTAATTTTTAGATTCTGAGTGGAGCGATGGTTTTACAATGATGTGTGTTTTATTTTTTATTTTTTTTGTGTCTGTCATCACCTTTTAGTACAGTAAAAGTGCTTAGATTTTCTTACCTTTTCTGATAGGAAAGTGAATCTAGTTGTTATTTTGGAGGGTCAAAAGTAAACATTTTCCAGCAGTTTTCAAAAGTACAGTGAAAAACAAATGGAAAATTAAAGAAAAAACGGGAATTTTTACGCAACA